GGGCCCAAATGGCTTCTGTCCTCGGCCCGTGTGCAGCTCACCCGGGAAGGGACACGGGCGCTCAGCAGAGAGCGGAGCGCTGAGCCCACGGGAGCGAGGGAGCTGTCCTGGGGAAGGGGGTGCCAAATCAGGGACCCAAGCCCTTCATTCCCATCCACTCGCTCCAGGAGCATCGGGGACTCATCAGGCCCCGTGGTGTGGCGTGTGTGGCGTGGCCGACAGCCGGGTGGACACCGTCCCCCACAGGGCCCACGGAAGCCCAGGGAAGGGCAACTGAGGACGGATGAGGGGCTCCAGGTGCACCAGCCCCAAGCCCGCAGCCTGCAAATCCCCTCAGCGCGGAGGTCCCATCAGACCGGGTGCTGAGGCTTCGCCCCGAGATACAATTCGCATAACATCGAATTCACCAGTTTAGAGCATTTTGAAGGACACAATTCATTCGGTTTTAGTAGAGTCACAGAATCGTACGACCATCACCCTTGTCTGCTTCCAGAATATTCCCATCACCCCAAAGGACCCCGCTCACATCCCCTCTCTCTGCCTGGCACGGGCAGCCCCACCCATCCTGGGGCCTCTGTCTCTCCAAGTTGGCTGCGTTCTCTGGCTTTAATTTTCATCATTTACATTTGTATTTTTGTATTTTATATATTGAATTTAGATTTTTCCTCTAGGCCTTCAATTGTATGACCATAGAATTCATATGAAATTTTCTTTTAAAATATTTTTTAACTAGTTATTTATTTTGAGAGAGAGAGAGAGAGAGAGAGTGCGAATGAGGGTGGGGCGTAGAGGGGAGAGAATCCCAAGCAGGCTCCATGCTGTCAGCACAGAGCCCGACGCAGGGCTCGAACTCATGAACCGTGAGATCATGACCTGAGCCGAAATCAAGAGCCAGACGCTCAACCAACCGAGCCGCTCAGGTGCCCCATGGTTTACTCCGAGGATGTAATGCAGACAGTCTAGCTGTCTTCCAAAACCCATCCTCCCCTCTTGTTTTGGGAATGGAACCTTCCCTTTTAACGGAGCACACTCCCCCCCCCCCAAGATAAAAACTACAACTCCCAGCATTCTTTGAGCCAGGCATAACCATGTGACTGAGTGCTGGCCAAGGAGACAGGATAGGGATAGGGGCAAGCAGCAGAAGTGGGCAGTGAGATCAGAAGCGACAGGGGCAAGGTGGGGAGCCCTCGCCCCAGGATCGTGGAGGGGCGAGTGGATGGAGCCCGGGGTCTCATGCCACCGCCGAGCCCAGACTTGCGTGTTGGAAACGAACTTTGTGTGACTCCACCCTTCTGTTGGTTCTCTGCCATGCAGCTAAATCCATTCTCTAAGACAACGTGTGATTTAAGAGCGTGTGTCTTACTTTCCAAATGGTAAAGGGGTTTTTCCTGGGGGGAGGCAGGAAGGAAGCTGTCACAATTTCCTGAATTATTTCTAATTTTCCTAGACTATGGCCAGAGATAATCTCAACCTTTTAAAATTTTCTCAAGGTTTGAGAAAACGCTCAATGGATCTTGGAGAGAATGTGTAATCTCCCTCTCTCTCTCTTTTCTTTTTTTTTTTTTTACAAAACAGCACATTTGTTATTTATTTCTTTGATTTTTAAAATTTGTTCTTAAGAACTAACCAAGGTTGGGGCGCCTGGGTGGCGCAGTCGGTTAAGCGTCCGACTTCAGCCAGGTCACGATCTCGCGGTCCGTGAGTTCGAGCCCCGCGTCGGGCTCTGGGCTGATGGCTCGGAGCCTGGAGCCTGTTTCTGATTCTGTGTCTCCCTCTCTCTCTGCCCCTCCCCCGTTCATGCTCTGTCACTCTCTGTCCCAAAAATAAATAAAAACGTTGAAAAAAAATTTTTTTAAATAAAAAAATTAAAAAAAAAGAACTAACCAAGGCCGGGAAAACGCCATGTTTCGGGCTAAAGTGACACCGTTAAAACCTATCGTGATGCTCTGAAAAGGCAGCTTTCAACGGAAAGATGGGAACGGTAAGGAACAAAATGTTAGCATTGGACGATGTTTTTATTTATCCCCTATCCTATTCCAAATAGGGTTTAATAGGACTTAAAAACAGCCAACCGTCCTCTAGCGTGTGATCTCCTTTTGAAGTAAGCGACGTCTCTACGCCCTGCTCAACCTGAGTTTGCTGGTTGTGTGATTCCGTGTCCCTAAAACCCGACCAACGCCGACTTCCCTACTAGACAGGTCTGATCCTGAAAGCGACACGTTGAGTTCCTACTGGAATCTTGCGTGTTTAAATAACTGGGCTTTACCTCATTAGCTGCCAAGTTGATTGATGCATAACGCAGACTTACCATTTTATCTTACTCATAACCTGTTCCATGTTCTCAACATGCCTTACTTTCCCGTTTAATGCCCGTGGTCCTCAGTTCCACTCCTGAACCGCGAGCGGAGCCCCGGGCTCCTGGGAATAGGCGCTCCTTGGCTCATCTTCAAGCCTGGGCTTCTTTAGCAGAGGATTCAGCCCACGCACAGTGTCGGGGATCTGCGTTTTAGTCCTTCCGTGTCCTTTACGCTCAGTGTTTTTTCCCTGCTGAATGATTTGTCGCCTTTTCCTGACTTTGGCTGCAGCCCACGATGGTACTCGCCCCCCTGTGCTCCTTGGCGGCATCCGAGAGAGACGCCGTGCACCCCTCCCATAAGGGCCACCTCTTTTCCTGTCTCCGGATCAAGCTGCCAGCTCTGTTGTAATGACAGCCACCAGCGGCGACGCCCTGGTGCACGCACGCTCCCTTTGGGACCCCTCCGCTCCACTGTGCAGAGAGCTGCCCCCCCCCCCCCCCGGAGGAGGGCCCTACCAGCTCCCACAGGCAGGGCTGCTAGGCTGGCCCCGGAGACGATGTTCTGTCTCCCTGCGTCTCACTGAATCCCGAGGTCCCCACTGCTCTGACATCCCCTTCCGTCTCACGGTGAGCACGGCAGGTGGACCCTGCGTTCAGCCTCCTCCGTGTGGGGGCTCTGTCCTAGGTTCTATTGAAAGAAAGAGGGTAGGAGCCACCAACGGGGTCCTCTGCCAGCCAGAAATGGGGAGCCTATCCTGTCCCCACCTGACCCTCCCACTGCCATGGCCCACCGCGCACAGCCCTCCCCACACGCCTCAGGCCATCTCTCTCCTCGTCCCGGCCACCCCCACCCCCACTGGGGCCCAGGCCTCAGCTCCTGGAGTGACCGAGGCGCCCAGCTGAGCTCTTGGCCTTCACGCCAGCTCTGGGGGGCGGGGGGGGGGGCGCTTCTCCTCCAGACAGCTGGGAACAGCAGGAGCCTCACACAAGTGTCCTGCAGGAGGGACTGAGCCGCCACCAACATGCCCCGAGGTCCTGGGCAGGCTCTCTGCAAAGTGGGAAGAGGAGTCTGCCTGTCCACACGGTGCTCTGCACAGTGCCGGGCACACAGTGGGGCCAAATAAGTGACGAGCTTCAGAACCACTGGACACACGCAGGGTCGAGAGCCCTGAAGGCTGTAGGACTCCACGTCATGGCTATGGGCACACGCTCGCTCTGTGAACCGCAGTCTCCAGGCCGGACGGAGGACACGAAGACACCCACGCCCCCCGGGCCCCCACCCCCTGGTGCTGGGGGCACACCTTTCCTCCCACTCGCCCCGCGGCCTTCTGAGACGGCACAGGCCGAGGGAGCGATGGGACTATGCTGATGTGCCGTGAGGGTCACGCCGGTGTTCGGCTGGGGTCGAGGCGCGGCCCAAATGGAATGCCTCCGCCAGCGTGGGGCAAACCTCGCCCGGGTCCAGGACCCGAGAGCAAGGGGTCCACTGGCGCCACCGGGAGCAAGCCGTCCGCGTTGCGGACAATCCTTCTGTTACGGGCGGGGTTGTGCTCTCCCGGAAGTTACGTAGCGAATTCCTAACCTCCGGTATCTGTGAACGTGACTGTACTTGGAGAAGGGGTCTTTCTAGAGGTGGTCAAACGAAAATGAGGCCACTAGGGTGGCCCTGCTCCAACGTGACTGGTGTCCCTACAAACGGGAAATCTGGACAGAAAGGCAGACAGGCGTAGAAGGTGGCACAGGGAGAGGCCGGCTGGCGACGAGCCGAGCACACAGGCCCGGAGGCATCGCTCCCTCGTGGCCTCTGACGGAACCGACCCCGTGTCCACACCTGGATCTCGGGCGGCCGGCACTGGGAGACGACAAACCTCTGAGGCTCGAGCCCCAGCCTGTGGGGTTTTGTTCCACAGCCCCAGCTGACAGGCACACTCCTTGCTGGCACTCTCTGATCGGTCTCATGCCGCCCTGTCTGATAGATCCTAGGACCCACACACCCACCGGACAACAGAGAGGCGGACCAGGAGGGGTCCTGGGGGAAGGCTGGGGCCTGGGGTGGGGGGCTGTCTCTGGACCTGAGTTGGTAGCATCCTAAGGATGAGGAAGGGGCCGAGGGAGACGTTTCCTCCTGGAGTCAGGCCAAGTGTGACCCTTGGGTGATGCTGAGGCTCTTGCCAGCTCTCCAGCCCTTGCGGCCTTGGCCCTGTCCTCGAGGTCACCTGCCGCCCACACCCGCTTCTCCCAGCCAGGCCCCCCTGACCTTCGTCCTTAGCATCCCACGGCCACAGGCTCCCGGACACGCAAGCCTCAGCCACAGGGCCCAGCGTGTCCGCTCCCGCTTGGCTGGCCCCGCGCCACCCGCCCCACATGTGACCTTGGCGGGTCGCATCCCCCACCCAGCGTCCGTATCCCCATCTGTAACGAGAGGGCCCTTCTCGCGCCAAGGCCTCAGGGTCCAGCCCCAGTCCTGGCCGCCTGTGGGACCGCAGGGGCACCAGCCCCCGGGGCCATCGAGGTGGACGAGGCCAGGGTGGCCCTCCCTCGGCCGGGTCCCCTGCTTCCCCTCGGCAGGCGCCTCTCACACAGGGCTTCTCGTCACGGCGAAGGTGAGTGGAACAGCTTTAAGAAAACAGAAAGCGCTTTACAGGGTGTCTCCAGAAGACAGAACCGAGAGCCCGGAGCCCCGGGCAGAGGTGGGCCGTGGTCCCTAGTACTTGAGAAGCCAACGGGGTTTGTGCTGGCTTATCGATGTGAAGTAGGACCACCACCAGGGCTTGCTCCCGCCGGCCGAGGGCTGCCTCCGCGCCCCGAGGGGCTCCTGGCCGGGCTCCTGGGGCTCTCCGTACGGGCTGGCACCTCCCAGCGGGTCACGGACTGCAGACCCGCTTCTCCGCGGCCCGAGGAGGAACTTCTTGGGTCCGGTCCCCAGGGGCTGGAGAATGAAGTCCACGCGGCCAGCCCTCTTCATCCGGGCAGGGATGGTGACTTTCTTGATGACCTTGGAGTAGCCAGGGGCTTGAGCTATGACGATGTGGGACCCCGGAGGCAGCAATCTCCAATAGTCCCCGTCTGGGGCTGCAGATAAACAGGACACGAGTGATTCTCCGACCTGGGTTCAGATTCGGGCTCGAGGTGACCAGCGCCGGGGGTCCCAGGGGCATCGGCCTCAAGTAGACCCCGGATTTGCACCTGCCTCTGCACTGGGGTGGAGCACCCCTCCCGTCTGCTCCCTCCGAGCGCGTCCCGGAGCCGCCGCGACGCAGGTCCCGGGAGGGTGCTCACCTGTGGTGATGTCGTGGCGGATGCCCTTGACCAAAATCCGGGCGTTTTTGACCGGCTTGCCAAACTTGTCCATCACCACACCTTTGATGCCCCGGTGCACCTGAAGAGACGGGGGGCGAGGGCGTGGCCATGACGCGCTCTCCGGGGAGCCCAGGCGGCACCTGCCTCCCGCCCCACCCACCGCCAGCTCCCCTGTCTGTCCCCGGAGCCAGGGTATCCGGGGAAAGCGCCTGGCGGACCCAGCTCCGCACCACCCGCCTTGCCTTCTCCAAGTCACTCCCCTCTCTGGGCCTCGGTTTCCTCATCTGTGAAGCGGGGTGACCAGTGAGCCCCCCTCTGGGCTTGTGAACGAGCCCGCAGCTGCCCGCTCGAGGGTCCACCCGACACCCTTTCTTGGGCCCGGAGCGCCATCAGAAAACTGTCAAGCCCGTCTGAACCGCCACAGCTGCTGCTCGGAGCCTGCGCACAGGGCCCCGGGCCCCAGGCATGGACCCCGCGGTCAGCCCCAGCCGAGACACCGACGGCGCTCTGATCCCGGTCAGGCTACCTCGTGTCTCAGCACCGCCTCCCATCTGTAAAATGGGGCAATGGTGCCAACAGTCAACACACAAGAGGCCCAGCGACAGCCGGGACGGGGTCCTCCTCCCAGTGAGGATTATTCTGGACCCTTTCTCACTGCTCACCACCTATTTCTGGGTGACCTTGGCCCCGTCCCTCCCCCACTCCAGGCCCGGCTGCCCGGGTCTCCCCAGTGTGAACCGGTCCAGACACGGCACCCTCGGGGCAGATGCACACACCCGGCCCCCAGACGGGGAAGCTCCATGTGCCTCAAGGAGAGCCCCCCCTCGGCACTGCCTGTCCCCCTTCACGCTCTTCTTATAAGGTCGACAATCACAGAGGTGCCTGGGGGCTCCGTCGGTTAAGCCTCCAACTTCGGCTCAGGCCACCATCTCACAGTTTGTGGGTTCGAGCCCCACATCGGGCTCTGTGCTGACGGCTCGGAGCCCGGAGCCTGCTTCGGATTCTGCGTCTCCCTGTCTCTCTGCCCCTCCCCCACTTGTGCTCTGTCTCTCTCTCTCTGTCTCTCAAAAATAAATGTTAAAAAAATTTTCTTAAATGTCGACAATCAACAAGTCAACCTCCCCTTGCTCTATTGGGCTGAAAACAACTTGGGGCCCACAGGTCGTGTCAAATGAGGCCAAGGTGACTGGGTGGGAGGGGAGACGGTGCAGTGAGACCGCTCTCTCCCGGGAGGCTGCTGCCTACACCTTCAGTGCCCCCACCAGGCCTCCAACCCTTCGTCCTGCCCCCTCCTCTGCTCGGAACACCTTGCCAGCTCCTGCACTGGCCATTCCTCTCCCCCACACTCTTCCTCCAGGAAGTCCTCCTTGATGACCAGCCACATCAGGGGCCTCTTCTGGGGTCCCCAGTTCCAGGCTTCCATTCTCCCAGCCCTGATCTCACCGTAATGGCACTGTCTGCCCTCCTCCCCCCGACCTAGAGACCAGACACACAGTAGGGCCTCATTTAATGTCAGCTTGCATGGGTTAGACTTTGTTCTGTCCTCGCTTTGGGGCTGAGGAGCGATCTCCATGCAGACCCAGGGCCGTGGAGGTCTCCGGCAGCGAGGGAGGCGTGGCGTGCATGCCCCTCCCTCCCGACCCGGGGAGCTGCAGACACCCACCCGAGGCCTGGTCAGCATCACTGTGAAGAAGGCCTCCATGGGCCATGGCAGGCTCGATCCTTATCAGAAGCCCCAGCTCGGCCCTCCCGGGGCGTCGTCCTGCGGCGGGAAGCTGGGGGGGTGGGGGGGCAGCCACACCCGGCTGCACGCCCCACCCCCCACAGCATCGCGCTCACTATTAAATCTTTATATCCCAAGACTTCACATGCAATATCCACAGAGCAATCCCAGCTCCATTTAAGGCTCCTTAAAACTCATTTTCACCAGACGGCCGTAAAATGGAATGAGCAAGCAGTCTGACCCAGACCCATTACCGAATGATGACCCTCCCCACGCAGCGAGAGGTCGCTGGCTCGGCCATAAAAAAGAAACTCAAACAACGCTAATAACGTCCAGCTATTATCTGGGCTTTGCTTTCTTTTTTTTCTTTCTTATTGTGGCAGCGGCTTATCCGGGAGGTTCTGCTTGGTTCTTGCCTGGAGGAAGGTTCCTGATCTTTCTAGAAAGGGTTCGTTGACAGAACTGAGGTGTGGGGCAGGCAGATCTGAGTTCCAGCTCTGGACAGTCGCTAGGTGACACGGTCTGACCCTCTGTCTCCTCCTCTGGTTTTCTCATAGGCACTGAGGGCCACGTGCGACCCAGGAACCCCAGACCCGCGCTGTCCCTCCCCGGCATCCGTCCCTCTACCCATAAAGCGGGGCAGCCCCTTCTCCAACCCGGGACTGGTGTCAGCATTCAATGCCACGTGTGGGGGCGCCCACGGTAGGGTGCGATTCACATACGTCCCCTCAGTGTCCCCTTCGGGCAATCCCGTTTCCCTCCCAGGGCCTGCTTCTCACGGGGACATTGTGCCAATATGTGATTCGCGGGAGTCTTGGAAACGCTCAGGGAAAGTCACAGAGGCGTCCGTGGAGCCGCCGTTAGGTGTCATTTCACCTCCTGGGTCCCCTTCTCCCTGTCGCATGTGGCTACCTCCCTCAGACCCCCACCACGCCCCTCCGCTGGGAGCCACGCCCCCAGGCAGGACTCGAGGAGGCAGGGGACACTGGCAGCTGGTCCCCACACGGTCACCGAGCCACAAGAAGACCACCCCCTGGGTCCAGTGAGGATTATTCTGGACCCTTTCTCACTGCTCACCACCTATTTCTGGGTGACCTTGGCCCCGTCCCTCCCCCACTCCAGGCCCGGCTGCCCGGGTCTCCCCATCCCCCACGCCCCCCAGGCCCAGGGCTCACCATCTCCACGAAGTTCAGGAGGGGCTCTTTGTTGTGCTGCCAGATGGTATAGAGGGCCTCCTCCGGGGGGAACTTCACGCAGCCCAGCTCCACCGTGATCTCAAAGCAGTTGCTGTGCAGGTAGTTGAAGTCGGACATGCCTGCAGGGCAGGGGCGGCCTGAGCGCTTCCCGCACTCGGCATCCGCCACCTGGCAGGCGGGAGGCCGCCGGACACCCGCGAGGGGGTGACGGGTGTTGTCGTTACCCCACTGTACAGATGAGCAGACCGAGGCCCAGGGCCCTGCCGCTCTCACCCGAGGCCCCTCGGGGAAAGGGCAGAGCTGCTCTTTAAACCCAGTCACTTGGCACCCAAAGCCACGGGCTTATGCTCTGTCCTATGTGCCCCGCGGTGGGTAAGGAAGGAACCCGTTTCCAGTAGAGATACGGGTAGCCTGCTGCAGCCACATGAGCCCCTGGCGCCCGAGCCTCTGCCTCCCCTGCCGGTCTGAACCCCAGTGATACACTGTCCGTTTGCCTAGACGGTCCCAGGAGCAGCCTGGGGGAGAAGATCCCCTAATCTCCATTTCCGGGGAGAACACAGGCTGGGCAAGGCTGGACAGTCCGCCAATCGGGTGGCCGAGAGAGGCTTCGAGAAAATCGGGCTGACCACCACCCACCCGCTTGTGCCCTTCGCCCCATCTGCTTCCGGGATTTCTTGTCCCGTAGAAGCTGCGAGGGCTCTCCAGGGCAGACCTGCCGTGCCCACGGGCCAGCCCTGTGTCAGGAGCAGAGGGGTCCCCTGTCCCCTGGAAGTCAGAGCCTCCCCGGAGCCCTGGTAAGCCAGCGGCCACCGTCATGGACTTGACCTTCACAATCAGAAGGGCAGCCACACTCCAATCCACCGGGTCCCTCTGTCCTTGGCCACTGGCCCCACGCTCTCCCCACGGGAATGAGCCTGCTTTCCTCTCCCGGGCTCAGACCCACTGTGGGGGTCCTTTGCGGACCCTGGAAATGGGGTCATGACCCAGGCTGGAGCCTTTCCACTGGGGTCAGGGAACCATGCACCTGAAGCTGCCCGTGCCCCCAGGAGTCAGGGAGCAGGAGGGGACAGTGTGCTGAGCTGCGGAACCGGAGCCGGAGGGGCCGGCCCCCCTGCCTGCACAGAAGTGGGAGGCTGGGCCCGTGCCCTGGGCGCCACCAGGCCCTTCTGCCCGAGCCCGAGCTCCTCACCTGCCACATGTCACACACAGGTGTCATGCCGGCGTGGAGGGATGGCAGGCAGAGCGCGGGGGCTCTGGTCGTGGCATTCGGTGCCAGGCACAGCCCCACTGCTCTGTGTGATGTGCACCCGGGACAGCTTAGCAAAGAGCGCGCCAGTTAAAGCTGAGCAAAGTTTCAGTGTAAGTATACCCCACGCAGTTCTTGGGACATACTTATACAGTACCCAAAATTCCTCATTATCTTTCTGAAATTCAAGTTTAACCGGAGTCCTTCGTTCCCTGCGACAACCCTTACTTGTCCCCCGAGGGGACCTGGTCACAGGATTACCGCGTGGCGTGTGTCCGTGCTCATGAACTACACTGCGGAAACGGCAGGGGGCGGG